GAGGGAAAAAAAGGTGAGTGGTGTTGGTTAAGGTACATTTTTTTTTTATTAGCACACTGCCGATTCCACCAAGCAGGTGCGCCCGAAAAAGAAAAACTTTCACCCTCATTCACTCCATCTATGTCTTGCAGAAGGGTGCCTACACTACAGTTTTGAAACTGCAACATTAACACCCTCCTTCAGAGTGCAGGCATGTACTTCCATCTCAGGTCTCAAGTCCGGCCTGCGGTTTCACTGAATCCCTCATAAATTTTATTTGCTCACAATCCACAGCACGTCAAGTATTAAAAAAAACCATTTGTCTCCAGTCTTCTATCAAATCACGCTCATGCATGCTGCTGGAAGTCAAGCCCCTCGCACACAAAAACTCCTTTACCACTCCTCCAACCTTTCCTGTGCCACCCTACCCAGCCTTCCTTGCCACTACTGACTGATACATTTGAAGACATTCTGTTTTGCTCCATTTCTCTTACATGTCCGAACCACCTTCAACAACCCTCTCAGCCCTCTGGACAACAGTTTTGTATCCCGCACCTACATCCTAATTACAAAACTACGAATTCTCTGTTTTACATTATATTCACACCACACATTGCCCTCAGACATGACATCTCCACTGCCTCCAGCTTCTCCTCCTGCAACATTCATCCCCACGCTTCTAAGCCATATCAGAGCGTTGGTTAAAAACTATACTCTCATACATTCCCCTCTTTGCCTCCAAGACAAGTTCTTTGTGTTCCACAGACTCCTAAGTGCTCCATCACTCTTTTTCCCTCATCAATTCTATGATTAACTCATCTTTCATAAGACCATCCGCTGACAGTTCCACTCCCAATATTGAATACGTTCACCTCTCCATATCTCTCCCTCCAATCTGATTTCAATCTTTATCATCAACCTTATCTTTTTGTTATCCTCATAACCTTTCTACCTATCCTGGTATTCACCTTTAATTCTTCTTCTTTTGCAACACTACCAATTTATCCACAATTCTGCAACTTCTCTCAGAATTCTCCCAAGAGCACAGTGGTCATCGCAAGAGCAGATTGTGACAACTCCCATCTTTGTGTGTGATTCGTTATCTTTTTACTCCAGCCTCTTGCCAAGAACCTCCATTTATTCTCTTACAACCCCATCTATTATATATATTAAACAACCAATGGTGACATCACACATCTTGTCTAAGGCCTTCTTTTACTGGGAAGAATAATTTCCTTTTCCTACTTACTTAACTTGAGCCTCCACTATTCCTGTAAAAAACTCTTCACTGCTTTCAGTAACTACATCCTACACCATACACTTGCAATTCTGCCACATTGCCCCACCTATCCACCCTGTCATACGCCTTTTTCCAATTCCATAAATGCCACAAAAGACTCTTTAGCCTTATCTAATTACTGTTCACTTATATTTTGCACTGCAAACACCCTGGTCCAACACCCCTACCTTTCCTAAAGCCTCCTTGTTCATCTGCTATCCTATTCTCCGTCTTACTCTTATTTCTTTACAATTATAATCTCCATTCACTTTACAGGTACACTCAACAGACTTATCCCCCTATAATTTTTGCACTCTCTTTTATCCCCTATGCTTATACAAGGAACTATGCATTGCTCTCTGCCAATCCTAGGTACCTCTTACCCTCTTCCATACATTATTAAATAATTGCACAAACCACTCCAAAACTATATCCCCACCTTGCTTTTAACAATTTCTATCTTTATCACAAATCCCGGCTGCCTTATCCCCTTCACTTTTACCTACTGCTCACGAACTTCCCCCACACTCACAACTGGCTCTTCCTCACTCCTACAAGATTGTTATTCCTCCTTGCCTATACACTAAACACAGCTTCCCTATCTCATCAACATTTAAAATTCAACTCAAAATATTCCCTCCATCTTCCCAATTCCTCTAACTCTCCATTTAATAATCTCTCTCTGTTTTTAACTGAAAATCCATTTGTTCTCTAGTCTTCTTATCTTGTTAATTCTCACTCAAACTTTTTCTTATTTTTCAACAAAATTTGTAGATAACATCTCACCACTCTCTCATTTGCTCTCTTTTTTTACATTGCTTCACACTCTCTTAACCTCTCTCTTTTTCTCATATACTCTTCCCTCCTTGCATCCACTTCTACTTTGTAAAAACTTTCATATGCTAACTTTTTCTCTTTACTACTGTCTTTCATCATTTCAATTCCACCAATCGCTCCTATTCCCTCCTGCACCCACTTCCTGTAACCACAAACTTCTGCTGAACCACTCTTAAACACTACATTTTTAATCCTACCATACCTCTTCAACCCCCATTGACTATGCTCTCATTAGCCATCTATCCTCCATTAGCTGTTTATATCCTTACCCTAATGACTCCTCTTTTTGTTTATAAAACCTTCACTCTCTCTCTTCCTGATGCTTTCTTTTCTCCTTGTATCCCATCATACCTTGTATTCAGTGTCGCTCAACTCGAAGTGATCGGATATATCTGTGTCCCTCTATAAACATGTACTCCTGAAGTTATCTCAGCAGTCTTATATCTACCAATAAATAATCCAACAAACTACTGTCATTTCGGCCCTACATCATATCTTGATAAATTATTTATCCTCTTTTTCTTAAAATATTTATTACTATAACTAAACCCTTCTATCAAGTTCAATCAAAGGGCTCCATTATATTTACCCCCTGGACCCCCCCCCTTATACCACCCCCCACCCCCCCCCCCCCCCACAAAAAAAAAACCCTCTCTTAAAAGTTTCTCCTACTTTAGCATTCAGGTCCCTACACAATGTTACTCTCTCACTTGTTCAAGGCTCTATACATTCACTTAACTCTCCCAAAATCTCTCTCTCTCTTGCATTCTCTCTTCTCCAGGTGCATACACGCTTATTATGGACCCACTTCTCGGCATCCAACCTTTACTTCTTAATCACGAATTCTATGAATTTTCACATTATTTCTCTTTTCACCTTCCATAACTGATCATTTAAATTACTGCTACCCTTCCTTTGATCTAAATCTCTCAGATACTCCAGATTTAATCCCATTTATTTCCCCCCATGAAACTCTCCTTACCCCCTTCAGTTTGTTTCGCTTTAGAGCCAGGACTCCAACTTCTTTTCTTCATAACTGTCAGCAATCATCTGTTTCTTGTCATCCGCCCACTACTTCACGCCCCAACCTTTAAGCTTCCCAGTTTTATAAGTTTTTCTTCTTCTCTTTTTTTAGTAAATGTAATACAGGAGAAGGGGTTATAGCCCATTGCTCCCGGCATTTTAGTCGCTTCATACGACACGCATGGCTTACGGAGGGAAAGATTCTTTTCCACCTTCCCATGGACATAGATGAAATAAATAAGAACAAGAGCTATTAGAAACAGGTGAGAGAAACTAGATGTATGTAATATATATATGCATGTGCGTGTTGTGAAGTGTGACCTAAGTGTAAGTAGGAGTAGCAAGAATATCCCTGTTATCTTGCGTGGTGTTTTATGAGACAGATAAAGAAACAGCATCCTACATCATGCTAACAGTTACAGGTTTTTGGTCTTCACAGTCATCTGGCAGGACGGTTGTACTTCCCTGGGTGTGTTTGCTGTCTACCAAAAAGTTATCTATGGAGGCAAAGATGGAAATGTTATGAAGTATAGTCGTAACATAAACTCTTTTCATGGATGTGTGAAGCTTGGGTGGTAAATGCAGCAGCGAGGAGACGGTTGGAGGAAGTGGAGATGTCCTGTCTAAGGGCAAATGTGTGGTGTATATATTATGCTCAGAGAATTCGAGGAGTGTGGAATTAGGAGAAGGACTGTGGAGTTAATAAAAGTATTAGTCAGAGGCTGAAGAGGGGTTTGTTGAAGGTGGTTTGGTGACATTTAGAGAGAATGGATCAAAGTAGAATGTCATGAGAGAGCATATTAATCTGTAGGGGACAGAATGGCGGGGTAGGGGTCGTCCTCGAAAAGGTTGGAAGGAAGGGGTAGGGAGGTTTTGTGGGCGAGGGGCCTTGGACTTCCAGCAGGCGTGCATGAGAGTGTTCGATAGGAACGGAATGGGAGGAAGAATGGTATTTGGGACCTGATGTTCTGTGTGGGAGTGTTGTGAGGGTAAATATTTAGTGAAGGATTGCAGGGAAAACGGTTTTATTTTAATTATAGCCGGACTTGAGTCTGGAAATGGGAAGTTCAAAGCACTGCACTCTTAAAGGAGGGTTTGGGATGGATATTAGAGTTTTGGAGGGATATGTGGTGTATCTTTATACGTATTTGCTTCTAAACTGTCGTGTTCGAGCACCTCTGCAAAAACAGTGATTATGTTGTGAGTGAGGTGAAAGTGTGAATGATGATGAAAGTATTTCTTTTTGGGGATTTTCTTTCTTTTTGGGTCACCTGCCTCGGTGGGAGCGGTCCCGAACTTGTTTTAAAAAAAAAAAAAATAAATAAATAAAAAAGATAAATAAATAATCAATAATAAAGAGGAGAGACGAGAGAGTGAGAGAGACGAGAGAGAGAGATGAGAGAGAGATGAGAGAGGAGAGATTGAGAGCTGAGAGAGAGTTAAGAGATAGAGACAGTGAGAGAGAGAGAGAGAGTGAGTGAGAGAGAGAGAGAGTGAGTGAGAGAGGAGAGAGATGATGAGAGAGAGAGAGGAGAGTGAGGAGGAGTTGACGGAGAGAATGAGAAGAGAGAGAGAGAGAGAGAGAGAGAGTTTGTGTAATGTTGTCTGTGTGTCGATCATGTGTATGTTCGTTTGAGAGGAGTGGAGGTGAGAGGAGAGAGAGAGAGAGTAACGATGTTGAAGTGTTGTTATGTGGTGAGTGTCGCTTTGTGATGAGTGTTACGTGTGTCGTGTGTTGTTGTCGTGTTGTCGTGTTGTGTGTGTGTGTCGTGTTGTGTGTCCTTGTTGTGTGTTGTGTTTGTGTGTGTCTTTTGTGTGCGTGTACGGTGTGTTGTGTGTGTGTTGTGTTGTGTGATGTGTTTGTGTGTGTGAATTAATTGACTAACCTAATAAGGGGATCTGCTGCCAGACTATTTGGCACATCTGTGGCATCTGTGCAGGTGCTGTAAGAGTCGGAGTTGTAGCTTCTAAGTTGACAGTTGCAGCAGCATTGATACTGTAAGTAACCATTTCTGGCCGGTAAATGAGTCTGTTTCTCCTTCATTATCCATTGTGTAATGACTGCAAAAATGTAAAACAAAATATTATTTTACAGGCTTATAGAAAAATTGCCATCAAAGCTTCAGGTAGTTGTACTGTCAGTAGTGTTGATATCTCTTACATGGTATCACATCACTCTCATTCTTTTCCCTCATGACACTTTGCACAAGTGTCCTATGTGTGACCCTGTCATAACGTTATATGAGGCTGGACTGCCCCCACACACATACTAGAGATATATAATATACTGCATCCTCATCAACTCCCCCCCCACACGCGCTCACATGCCCTTTGTGGTGTAGCCTCTCACATCGTCCGCGTTGCTGTCACGACCCCCCCCCCCCCGCATGATTCCCTACATACGTTACCCTTTCAAAATTCCCCCCCCCCCGTCCCCCCCGCCCCCCATATCCACTATATACCGTGGCACAAACTCTTATCCGATCTATTCATACATTTGAAAAAATTTAAGGCCACGAGGGTCCATACTGTATCACTGTTAACTACACAAGAGATGACTATGTGTCTGACATACTAGTACACCTAACTAGAAGCAAATAATGAAACCAGGAGTTGTTGTTCCACTACCAGCTTCCCTGCCAGCAAACAATGAGGATCTGGCAGAAAGATGACTTATTCATTCCAAATCTATTAAAATTTCATGATAATAACAGTGGAATTCAGCAACAAAACACACTAAATAGATTTAGCCCAGAATAACTCAATAAAGGTAAACAATGTGACTTATTTCTATGATTTGAGGAATATTACATCTTGAAACAACTGTAATATAAGTATTCCTTGTACAATATGTTAGAAAACCAAGTAAAAAAAAAAAAAAAAAAAATTATTTTGCCTTTTTTTTTTTAACAAGTCGTCCGTCTCCCACCGAGGCAGGGTGACCCAAAAAGAAAGAAAATCCCCAAAAAGAAAATACTTTCATCATCATTCAACACTTTCACCTCACTCACACATAATCACTGTTTTTGCAGAGGTACTCAGAATACTGTACAATCCAAATGGAGCAATGTCATGCTAAGCATTTCCCCATGTTTGAAGTGTTAAAATACCTTGATATATATAAGTACACAAACACAAGAAACTTGTGTATATGGTGTTAAACATTAAAAACAATTAAATAACTGAAAAAACAATCATAATTTGAAGCTTGGGTTGAGAATGCTACGGAAAGGAGGAGGCTGGAGGCAGTGGAGATATTGTGTCTGAGGGCAATGTGTGGTGTGATTATTATGCAGAAAATTCATAGGTTGGAGATTAGGAGGCGATGCGGGGTTACTAAGTGTATTATCCAGAAGGCTCAGAAGGGGCTGTTGATGTGGTTTGGACACTTAGAGACAATGAAGCAAAATAGGATGATTTGGAGGGCGTACAAATCTGTTGGAGGGAAGTTGTGGTAGGGGTCACCCTAGTGAACGTTAGAAGGTGGTAAAAAAAGGGTTTCTGTATGTAAGGGGCTTGGCCATCCAGCAGGCGTGTGAGTGTGTTACATAGGAGTGGAGCCAAATGACTTTTGGGACTTGATGAGCTGTTGGAGTGTGAGCAAGGTAACATTTTGTGAAGGGATTCAGGGAAACCAGTTAGCCAGACTTGAGTCCTACAGGTGGGAATTACAATGCCTGAACTTTAACCCTTTCAGTGTCGGTCCGTTGTACTAAGGCTTTGAAGCCAGGGTCGGTCCCATGGTACAAGCTTAGCTCACTCAGATAAGCTGTGAGCAGTAAATTTGGGTCTAGATATGAAAGAATGGGTCCATGCAGTAAGTGTGCACCATATACAAAAATCCTGCAGCATGCAGTGCACGAGAAAAAACTGCAACCGTGTTTTTGGTTTAAAACAGCGACTTTGTGGTGCATTTTCATATGGTTTTTATTGTAGTATTCTCAGTTTTTTGGTCTCACTTGATAGAAGAAAAAATATATTACAGAAAAAGAAATGATTTTTATTGTTTTCAGGACTGACAGTAGGTTGAAACTGAGCTCAAAGTAGTGGAAATGTTCAATGTTTGCTGATATTCCAGAGTACACAAATGATGTCACTTGTCCAATACATGTCCAACTGGCCATTCTAATATGCATTTATTAATGCACTGAAATTATTTATGCAATTATTACAATAATACAGTAAACCTTCTATTTGTCGTGAATAAAACTTCAAAATGAAGAGCAAGTGTTATATAAGAAGGGTCTGGAGACATGACTAAGGAACAGAGGAAATGCTTATTTAGTGCCAGGAATGTCTACATTATTTATTCAGGACCCTATTTTCAAAATGGCAATTTCTTAATTTTGTGTGAAATTGGCCAAATTACTAATTTCTGATCACTTCATTAGGTAGTTGAAACATGTAAATGGGCAGTTTCTTGTACTTAATCCATAGAATAGAAGGAATACTAGCGAAATAGCTATGAGTTTGGTCGACTGGCACAATGGAATTGCCCAAAAATAAGGTGTAAAGTGGGCAAAATCACTGATGCATAAATATCACCAAGATCCCTAACTTTGCAAGAGCATAATTCCGTAGATTTTTCATCAAATTTTGTGCTTTTGGTATTATTACCTCCAAAAAAAGATTATCATTTCATAATTTTTTTTTTTAAACTCTTCAACCCTGAGAGCAGTTTGAGATCAGGGGTCTCGACCCTGAAAGGGTTTAATGAAGGGTTTGGGATATTTGTTGTTGTGTGACATATAAACTGTTATATCTGCATACCTCTACAGTGATAATGTAAATGATGGTGAAAGTGTTTCTTGTTTTTTAATCACCCTGTCTCGGTGGAAGAAGACCATCACGTTTAAAAAAAAAAAATCACTTTCTTTTTTTTACTGATAAGACCAGCACGTCCCTTGTCCGTTTCATAACTTATTACAGAGAAGGGGTTACTATCCCCTTGCTCCAGTATTTTTGTCACATTTTACAACACATATGGCTTACAGAAGACTTCTCACCAGCTTCACTATAGAGATGAAAAAGAAACACTATAAGAAGAACTATCAAGAGACACGAAGAAAACTCAGATGAGTGTGTGTGCACACATGTACATACACATCTGCATGTATAGTATGGACTAGATGTCAACAGAAGTGCTTATGAGACAAAGACAAGACATCAGGAATCCTACCATTGTGTAAAATAATTACAGGTTTCCATTTCACACTCATTTGGCAGGACGGTAGTACCTCCCCAAGTGGATGCTGTCTACTAACCTACTAGGGGTTTGGACATCCAACAAGCTAGTGTGACCATGTTAGATAGGAGTGAGTGAAGATAAGCAGCTTTTTATTATTTGACATGCTGCTGGAGTTTAAGCAAGGTAATATTTATGAAGAGATTCAGGGAAAATGGTTAGCCAGAATTGAGTCCTGGAGGTGAAAAAGGGCAGTGCCTGCACTCTGGAGGAGGACTGGAGGTGGATATTACAGTGCCTGAACTCTGAAGAACGGGTGGAGGTGAGTAGTACAGTGCCTACAACCTGATGGAGTGGAGGTACATAGTACAGTGACTACAATCTGATGAAACTGGGGATGTTGGGTTTGGAGAGTCATCTGATGCCCTTCTGGTGAGACACTAAATGAATGACTGACAGTGAAAGGGTTTTCTTCTCTGTCAGATCACCCTACCTCAGTGAGAGACGGCCAGAATGTTAAAAAAAAAAAAAAAAAAAAAAAAAAAAAAAAAAAAAAAAAAAAAAAAAAAAAAAAAAAAAAAACCTATCTCAAGTATGAGCACACTACATAGATACTACACTACCTGTCTTAACATCCACATGTTAACTAATGAGAGCACTGAGTCTCAGCACACTGCATACCTCTACACTACCTTTTCATACACCAAACAATCACTCATTTTATTAAACTTTTAATATACTTGTGTCTAATTAAAAATAGTGAAGCAAACACATTTTAAAATAATAAAGCATATTTACAAAGAATGAAACATGAAGGACCCTGAATGCCACCCACCCAGTCACCTGCTCAAGTAAGGAATACATAAAAAATTATGAAACGCACTGGACCCCTGCAAATTTGAGGTTCTAAATTCGCAGCTTCAGTAATTCGCAGATTTTTCCTTAGAACCTATCTAATAATTGTTTGTGGAAATCCCTGCAAATTTGTGGAATATTTGGGCTTTTCCTCGTGGCAATATATATAATTTTTTATGCATTTTAACGCTAAATATTAAAAAAAAAATAATTTAATAATTTTGTAACATAAATATTAACATAAATTCAGCAAAATTTCCATATACTGGTGAGTACCCATACATTTATCTTTACTTTTACTAATTAAAATATTACTGTATATTTACCGTACATATACCAAAGAAAACGAGGTTGCATGAATTACATAAGAACATAAGAAAGAAGGAACACTACAACAGGCCTACTGACCCATGCAGAGCAGGTCCATGTCCCCCCCCCCCCCCAGATTAGCCCAATGACCCACCCAGTCTGGACACCTCCACTCAAGGAAGGAGCACGGCACCAGACCCAGCAGCACAAGCTAGTCAGGTCCAACTCACACCCACCCACACCCACTCATGTATTTATCTAACCTATTTTTAAAACCACACAATGTTTTAGCCTGAATAACTGTACTTGGGAGTTTGTTCCACTCATCCACAACTCTATTACCAAACCAGTGCTTTCCTATATCCTTCCTGAATCTGAATTTTTCCAACTTGAAACCATTGCTGCGAGTCCTGTCTTGGCTGGAAATCTTCAGCACACATTGGTATTTTACATTCTAGCACTGAGGGAGACACAGCAGTATAGTACTGTACATATGTATATGGGTTTATCTTGACATTTTTTTTTTTAAGGGTGATGTATGAAGCTGAGTTTGAAATTAAATTAAGGATGATGTATGAAGCTGAGTTTGAAATTAAATTAAGGGTGATGTATGAAGCTGAGTTTGAAATTAAATTAAAGTGTATTGGGGGAATATTTAGAGTTTAAACTATAAAAATAGGCATTCATAGGCATTTTTTTTAACCATGTCCAAAATTCGTGGTTTTTCCAAATTTGCAGGTGGTCTTGGAACGTAACCCCTGTGAATTTGGGGTGACTACTGCATGTCACAGCTATCAAGTATGACAAACGTTACTGAACAGAAAATTTTGGATAATAGAAACTGGAAAGTCAACAAGAAATTTCAAACTGGAAATTAATATTTTTCACTTTTAATTTGGAAATTTCAATTTTTTAAAAGTATTCAAAATTTCTTAAAAGTTTATTATAATAGGAAAATTCTAAATTAGATATCTTTCCTAGTAAAATTCAGAATTTTTATATTCCCAAAGCACATTCTAAATTAAATTTTTTTAGAAGTTTAGAAAATTGCACTTCAGTAAAATACTGCTATACTACTGCTATACTACTGCTAACCTGCTATAAGAAGAAGCCAATGAATGTCTTCATAAAGTTGGTCCAGCTGAGAATTTTCAGCTATAGTAAGGTTGTTGCTTAGAATGTGAGTGAGCTGCGTTCGCATACGGCTAATACGATCTTCCAATAACTGTGTCAACAAAGGTACACTGTGTTCCGGAGCCTGTGTAAACAAACATTATATTAATGGTACATAATATTTACTGGTAGCTGAAAAAGACACACAAGTTAAAATATTGCACAAGCATATTATTCATCTAAATAAACATAACCATATTACTCACATAAATGAGGAATATATACAGTGGTCAACCTGTATCTTCGGGGGCTACATTCCAAGACCTACTGTGGATAGCCAAAACCATGGACAGTAGCGAACCCTATATATAAGTCATTTTTTGTTTACATACATACTTATGATAAAATTTAATTGATAAATTACACACAGTAAGTCAAGAATTAGCACTTTTTCCTTTTAGGCTCTGAAGAACTGCCAGCTGCACTACTTTTGTGCTCTGGAGGCATTATTAAGCAAAATTTTGGGTTATTATCAGGCCACGATAAACCATGGATAACTGAAACTGATGAAACTGAATCTACTAATATGGGGTTTCTACTGCACATATGTTTGAACAATTATCTTATTATCAGATTTTAGTAAATAAACTCCATCATATTATAACTCTTGTATTTTTCTGAATATGTAATTTGCAAATATTCTCTAAAATAAACTAAAATAAAATAAAGCTTTATATCAGCACCTGTACAGCCATTGCTATACATTTTAATTCAGCAATTTTAGAAAACAAATCTCAATATGAAGAAGACTGTAGGACACTAACCCTAAAGCAATTCTTGTGAAGCAACTACATTTGGGAAGACAATACTTACAAATATTAGTTATTTTCTCCTTTACTCATAAAACTGACAAGATACATGATCTCTGATAACCCATAACTAACTGGGTTACCTTGCAAAAGATACAGTATTCATATATATAAGAATGAAACCAACAAAAGTATATCCTTTTTTTTTTTCACATGTTGGCAACTTCCCAGCAAGTCAGGGGTGACCCAAAAAGAAAGAAAAACCCAAAAAGAAAGAAAAAACTTTCATCATCAATCAACACATTCACCATCACTCATGAAAAATCACTGTCTTTGCAGAGGCACTCAGATACAACAGTTTAGACATCCCTTCAAACTGCCAATATCCTAAACCCCTCCTTTAAAGTGCAGGCATTGTTCTTCCCATCTTCAGGACTCAAGTCAGGCTAACTGATTTCCCTGAATCCCTTCACAAAATATTACCCTCCTCACACTCCAACTGCTAATCAGGTATCAAAAACCATTCATCTCCATTCACTCCTATCTAACATGCTCACACACACTTGCTGGAAGTCCAAGCCCCTCATCAACAAAACCTTCTTTATAACCTCCCTCCAACCTTTTCAGGGATGAGCCTTACCCTGCCTTCCTTCCCCTATAGATTTATATGCTCTCCAAGTTATTCTATTTTGTTCCATTCTCTCTATATGACCAAACCACCTCAACAGCCCCTCTTACTAATACTTTTAGTAGCTCCACACCTCTTCCTAATTTCCACACTACGAATTCTCTGCATAATATTTACACCCTTAGACACGACATCTCTGCTGCCTCCAGCCACCTCATCACTGCGTCATTTACAACCTATGCTTCACACCCATATAAGAGTGTTGGTACCGCTATACTCTCATACATTCATTTCTTTGCCTCCATGGATAACGTTGTTTGTCTCCACAGATACCTCAATGCACAACTCACCTTTTTTCCTTCATCCATTGCATGGTTAACTTCATCCTTCATATACCCATCCACTGACAAGGCAATTCCCAATTAGTATCTGAAAACATTCACTTCTTCCATACTCCCTCCCTCCAATGTGTTATCCGATTTTTCTTTATCTTAATTGTTTGATACCCTCATCACCTTACTCTTATCTATATTCACTTTCAACTTTCTACCTTTACACACCCTCCCAAACTCGTCCACTAACCTTTGCAACTTTTATTTAGAATCCCCCAAAAGCACAGTATCATCAGCAAAAATGTAACTGTGTCAATCCCATTTTGTATTTGATTCCCCATAATTTAATCCCACCCCTTCCCCCAACACTCTGGCATTTACTTCTTTTACAATCCAATCTATAAATATGTTAAACATCCATGGTGACAATACACATCCCTGTGTAAGACCTACTTTTACTGGGAAGTAATCTCCCTCTCTCCTACATACCCTAATCTGAGCCTCACTATCCTCATAAAAACTTTTTACAGCATTTAGTAACTTACTACCTATTCTATACTCTCGCAACAGCTGCCACATTGCTTCCCTATCCACTCTATCATATGCCTTTTCTAAATCCATAAATGCAATGAAAACTTCCCTACCTTTATCTAAATACTGTTCACATATGCTTCAATGCAAACACCTGATCTACACATCCCCTACCCATTCTAAAGCCTCTTTGCTCATCTACAGTCCTGCTCTCTGTCTTACCTCTAATTCTTTCAGTAATAACCCTACAATACACTTTACCTGGTATACTCAATAAACTTATTCCCCTATAATTTTTGCAATCTCTTTTGTCTCCCTTCCCTTTATGTAAAGGAATTAAATACACTTTCTGCCAATCCCTAGGTACCTTCCCCTCTTTCATACATTAAACAAATATACCAACCACTCCACCACTATATCTCCCCCTGCTTTTAACATTTCCATCATGATCCCATCAGTTCCAGCTGCTTTACCCCCTTTCATTCTACGTAATGCCTCATGCACCTCCCCTACACTCACATCCTGCTCTTCTTCACTCTTAAAAGATGATATACCTCCCTGGCCAGTGCATGAAATTACTGCCTCCCTTTCTTCAGAGACATTTATAAGTTCTTCAAAATATTCCCATCTACCCAATAACTCCAGCTCCCCATCTACTAACTCCCCTACTCTGTTTATAACTGACAAATCCATTCATTCTCTAGGCTTTTTTTTTTAACTTATCTCACTCCAAAATTTTTTCTTATTCTCAGCAAAATTTCTTGACAGTGCCTCTCCCACTTTATCATTTGCTCTTCTTTTGCACTCTCTCACCACTCTCTTCACCTTTGTTTTACTCTCCATATACTCTGCCCTTCTTATATCACTTCTGCTTTGTGAAAAATATATCTGTAATTCCAAAAGACATACAGTACTATATATGGCATATTTCAGCAAAAAAGAAAAACAGAGTAGGTATCTCCTGGTTTATGTTAAGAAACATCACAAACTATTCATAAGTTACTTTGATGACAACAAAGAATAAAGATGAGAAATGAACTAATGATCCATCAAATAGAGTTAAGAAACTAAGTGTGCATGAGAAATAACAAATATTTCTTCTACAATAAAACTGCTGCTCTAACACTACGTTATAAAGGTCTGAGGGTTTTACAGCTGACATTTAATTCAAAGAGAATCTTGTGTAATCAGTCCAGTCTTGTTATTCGTAAAGAAAATAATAAATATACAATGCAAATTCTTAAATCAAATGAAGACTAAAAGTCACAATATGATGGTTGGAAGAATACACACACAGCCCACACTTAAACTAAAAGATGTACTGCTCTGTCCTGTACCATTAACAAGTTACAGCTTATAACCTGATAATGGTTTAGTGTGGACAGATAAGTCATCTAAAGTTTCCTAATTAAGTGTAGGTTATTGTCAAATTATAAATACAATACCTGTCTCCCACAAAGTCCAATCAACACTAACTGTTCCTTAAAGGCTACTCTGTCAGCTTGAACAGTTTCTGAGATTTCATCAGCATCAATCTGAAATGAAAAATAGAGAAAAATCCTTAATCAATTTTTTTTTTTTAATTTAATACACCGGCCATCTCCCACCGAGTCAGGGTGATACTCCCCCCCCCCCAAAAAAAAAAAAAAAACTTTCACCATCATTCACTCTATCACTGTCTTGCCAGAGATGCACTGATACTATTGCTCAGATGCCCCCACAAACTCCAAATATACCCACCCCTCCTTCAGAGTGCAGGCACTATACTTACCACCTTCATGAATCAAGTCCAGCTAACCAGTTTCCCTGAATCCCTTCACAAAATGTAACCTTGCTCACACTCCAACAGGTCAAGTCCCAAAAATAATTTGCCTCCAGTCCTATCTAGCATGCTCATGCACACCTGCTGGATGTCTAATCCCCCCTCCCTGACACACAACTTCCTTTACCCCCTCCCTCCAACCTTTCCTAGAGTGACTCCTACCACTCCTCCCCTCCACTATTTATTTATATACCCTTCAACTCATCCCATTTTCTCCATCCTCTCTAGCTGTCAAAACTATCTCAGTAACCCCTCCTCAGCCCTCTGGGTAACACTTTTAGTAATCCCACACCACCTCCCAAATTCATCCACCAACATTTAGAACTTCTTTTCAGAATCTCCCAAAAGCACAGTGTCATCAGCAAAAAGCAACTACGACAACTCCCATTTTTTATTAGAATCTCCATATTTGAAGCCCCTCTCATTCCCCAATACACTAACAGTTACAGTGGACCCCTGGATATCGTAGTCACTGGATTTCGTAATATTCGGTAATCATGAAGTTTTTTCATAAAAATATTGGCTCGGTGATCGTCATTTATCAGGGTAATAGTTGTTTGCCCCAAACGTGTACGAGTGGCCCCAAGCAGCCCCACCCACCATCCCACAGCATTCACAGTCAGTTTGCTATTGTTTATCAGTGAGTGACCATCACACCACGCGTTCATACAATACAAATCGTAATACAGTGGACCACCGGTGTTCGATGGCATAGGTATTCGATAAATCCGGTATTCGATGCATTATATCGCAAAAAATTTGCCTCGGTATTCGACTGAAGACCTGGAATTTGATACGATTCATATGAGACGTGTCCACGTGTGGCCTGAACTGTCCCGTGAGTGCCAGTGTTTACAAGCCAGCCAGTGTGCGCGCATCTAAGGATACCTTTGGTACATTCCATATTATCCATATTATCACTGTGTTTGGTGCTTGTTTCTGCAAAATAAGTCACCATGGGCCCCAAGAAAGCTTCTAGTGCCAACCCTTCGAGAAAAAAGGCGCTAATGACTTATGAAATGAAGAAAGAGATAATTGCAAAGTACGAAAGTGGAGTGTGTGTGTCGGAGCTGGTTAGGTTGTATAATAAACCCCAATCAACCATTTCTACTATAGTGACCAGGAAAATGGCAATCAGGGAAGCTGTTCTTGCAAAAGGTGCAACTGTGATTACGAAACAGCGACCGCAAGTGTTAGAAAATGTTGAGAGATTGTTATTGGTGTGGATAAATGAAAAACAGATAGCAGGAGATAGCATCTCTCAAGCGATCATTTGTGAAAAGGCTAGGCAGTTGCATGACGATTTGGTAAAGAAATTGCCTGCAGCAAGTGGTGATGCGAGTGAATTTAAGGCCAGCAAAGGTTGGTTTGAAAGATTTAAGAATCGTAGTGGCATACATAGTGTGATTAGGCATGGTGAGGCTGCCAGTTCAGACCAAAAAGCAGCTGAAAAATATGTGAAGGAATTCAAGGATTACATAGACAGTGAAGACTTGAAACCTGAACAAGCGTTTAATTGTGATGAAACAGGCCTGTTCTGGAAGAAAATGCCAAGCAGGACCTACATTACTCAGGAGGAAAAGGTACTCCCAGGACATAAGCCTATGAAAGACAGGCTTACTCTTCTCATGTGTGCCAATGCTAGTGGTGATTGCAAAGTGAAGCCTTTATTGGTGTATCACTCTGAAACTCCCAGAGTGTTCAGGAAAAACAATGTCCTCAAGGCTAATTTGTGTGTGCTGTGGAGGGCAAACAGTAAGGCATGGGTCACTAGGGACTTTTTCTATGACTGGTTACACCAAGAATTTGCCCCCACTGTGAAAAATTACCTAACTGAAAAGAAATTAGACCTTAAGTGCCTCCTGGTATTAGACAATGCCCCTGGTCATCCTACAGACTTGGCAGAGCGACTTTCTGGGGACATGAGCTTCATTAAGGTCAAGTTTTTGCCTCCTAATACCACTCCTCTCCTGCAGCCCATGGACCAACTTCAAGAAACTGTACACAAAAGCTATGTTTCAAAAGTGCTTTATAGTGACCACAGAAACTCAACTGACTCTAAAAGAGCTTTGGAAGGATCACTTTAATATCCTCAGTTGTATAAACCTTATAGGTATGGCTTGGGAGGGAGTGACTAAGAGGACCTTGAACTCTACTTGGAAAAAACTGTGGCCAGAATGTGTAGATAAAAGGGATTTCGAAGGATTTGAGGCTAACCCTGAGAATCCTATGCCAGTTGAGGAATCCATTGTGGCACTGGGGAAGTCCTTGGGGTTGGAGGTTAGTGGGGAGGATGTGGAAGAGTTGGTGGAGGAGGACAATGACGAACTAACCACTGATGAGCTGATAGATCATCTTCAACAGCAAGAGGCCACACTTGAGAAAACTGCTTCAGAGGAGGGGATAGAGAAACTGAAGAAGTTGCCTACTTCAAAGATTAAGGAAATGTGTGCAATGTGGCTTAAAGTGCAAACCTTTTTTGATGACAATCACCCTCACACAGCTATTGCAAGCTGTGCTGGTGACTATTACACTGACAATGTTGTGAAACACTTTAGGAATGTCATAAAGGAATGGGAGGTACAGGCCACTATGGACAGATATGTTGTGCGACAGAAGTCCAGTGACTCTCAAGCTGGTCCTAGTGGCATTAAAAGAAGGGAAGTAACCCCAGAAAAGGACTTGCTACCTCAAGTCCTAATGGAAGGGGATTCCCCTTCTAAACACTAACACCTCTCCCCTCCTCCCATCCCATCAATCATCACCAGATCTTCATTAAAGGTAAGTGTCAATTATTTTATTGTTATTGTAATTATTCTATTGCATTAAACTTAATATTTCATGTAGTAAAATTTTTTTTTTCATACTTTTGGGTGTCTTGCACGGATTAATTTGAATTCCATTATTTCTTATGAAGAAAATTGATTCAGTTTTCGATATTTTTGGTATTCGATGAGCTCTCAGGAACGGTTAATACGAATACCGGGGTCCACTGTATTCCTTTATTTTTGTGTTTGCAACTGTAAAAAGCCACCATGGGCCCAAAAAGAAAGCTATGCCACCCCTTTTGGTAAAAAAGGTGAAAACACAAAAATTCAAGAATGACATCATTGTAAAAAATAAAGTGGGGAAATGTGGCAGAACTTCCCCCTACAAAAACCCTCACTTCCACGTGCCAAGAAAAAGGAAATCAAGGAAGCTGTTGTTGCGAAAGGTGCAAATATGCTTACAAAACAGAGGTTGCAAATTGTTACAAAAAAATGCGATTTCTAATAAGCATAGAGATCTCCAGTGAATACTAGAAAGGACTGCCCCTTTTACATCCAGCCTTTTACTGGGGGTTTTTTAACAAGATCAGTATCCTGGTCCAATTACCATTTAAAAATTTATAAGATTTAATAGTGCTTCAGATTACAACTGGGAGGCTACTAACTAAAGAAATTAAAATTTAATAAGTTTATTAATAATAAAATTGTCTAGGCATATACGTATTATCAAATTAAATTAATGTAATAACAAATCAAAATAACACTTCACTCGGACATAATATTTTCTGAAGGCAAATACCAATTTTTTATGTCTTAAGTACCGTCTGGAACATTAACATTTAATAATACATAACATGGGCCCTCAATAATCGTCCGGGCCCGAAAGCCCCCATTTTGGAACAGTCCTTTTTTTCGTCAAATATGGGTCGCAAATGTCCGGGAACTCGCAATAGTCCTTCGTCCCGACGCTACTCACGCTCGAGCCCCCGGGGCCCTTCCCTTTTTCCCAGACAGTGTCCATTGTTTACCGGGGCGACGGTCCCCCTTTCACGAGCTCCACGAAAAATTTCTAATATTCCTTTTATTTTAGGCTTAAAAGTTTTTAAGTGCTAAATAAGCACCAGGCTCCAAAAAAGCTCCTAGTGCCAAGCCTTTGTAAAAAAGGGGTGAGAAATATATCGAATTTAAGAAAAACATCATTGAACAATATAATAGTGGCGTACGTGGGGCAATTTGGGCCGGGATGTATAACAAATCCCGTACAACCAATCTTCCATCATACCAAAAAAAAGGAAAACAAAGAGCTGTTGTTCAAAGGGGGGGAAATATGCGACAAAAAAGATCACCAGCACTCGAAGATTTGAGAATTTTTATTGGGGGGATAAATGGAAACAAATTTGCAGGAGATATCTTATACATCGTTATTTGTGAAAAGTCTAGGCAGTTTCGATGTTTGGTAAAGAAATTTCCTGCAAATAGTGGGGATGGAGTGAATTTAAGGCCACAAAGGGGGTTTGAGAGATTTAAGAAGCGTACGGCATACACAGTGTGGTAAAGGGATGGGGAGGCTGCCCGTTCGGGTGAAAAAAAATGGCAAGAATCACGGGGGTACAAAACAGTAAGGACTGAAACCCGAAAAAGTGTTCAATTGTGATGAAACAGGCCCTTTTGGAAGAAAATGCCAAAGAGGACCACATTACTCGGAAGAAAAGGGCCCGCCGACACAAGCCTATGAAAGACAGGCTACCTAATTTTTGTCTAATCTAGTGGGAATTTCAAAGTAAGCATTACTATTTTACCATTTAGAAAATCCCAAGGGGTTCCAAAAAGCAATGTTATGAAGTAAATTGTTGTGTTTTTGGAGATCTAATAGTAAGGCATGGGTCCAAGGACATTTTTCGTCGATAGTTCAATGAATGTTTGGCCCTATGGAAAAATACCTCCT